CACAACCACTAATAAGTCTACCACTCAAAAATAAATCTACCACAACTATAAATAAGTCTACCACTACAACGCATAAGTCTACCGTAACTACTCAATAAGTCTACCACAACTTACAATAAGTCTACCACTACTTACAATAAGTCTACCACTACTANAAACAAGTCTACCACTGCCTGCACCGTAATAAGTNTACCGACNACTTTATAAATCTACCACTACTACAAATAAGTCTACCGATCCCAAAATTGAGTCTACCAGTATTACGAATAAGTCTACCACATATTATAAATATACCACAACTATAAATAAGTCTACCATCGCGTACGCCGTAATAAGTCTACCAGACGTTTAATAAGTCTACCACCGTCGAAATTGGTATTGGCGAAAGCACAAATATTGTTGTTTAGGTTCATTTGAGGTATTGGTTCTCGGTTCAGAATTTTTTTTTTTTTTTTGTGTGAAAATAGGGAACCATTTATTTTTCTCAGTTACATTGGAAAATGTATGGATCATAAAGTTGTATTATTCTGTTGTGAACGGCAGAGAAGATTGGTGGGAAGGTGATATACATAAGAATAAGTCCGACTAGCGACCTCTGTGTACGACGTCTTCTTTTATTATGTTTTGAATGCGAAAATATGAGAGTACATCAAAGAATTAAGGAAGCTCTACGTAAAATGTATATATACAATCAACTACAGAGTTAATCAGAATTACACAATCAACTATAGAATTTGTGCACATTCGTCAGGTGAACAAAATTCACAAAAACATATTGTAACTCCAAAAACAGCATAAAACATTAGCTCTCAAACTCTAGACAAAAGCATCTTCCAACTCTAAAACAAAGACATAAACAATTTCCAAATGTAATTAATTTGTGCCAAGAGGAGAAGTGGCAAAACCAACAAGATAAATCACAAAACATATTTAACAACGAATTAAAAGATTAGGTTATGCAAGCGAACAAAACATGATATCAGTAGTTACGTCACAAACATTAAATTTTGAATATTTAGCCATTTTTTTTAAATTATTGTTCCGCGGCATAGCGCGGGTATTTACCTACGTGTTATTAATACCAGTAAGATATATATCAAACGCTCTGCATGATATAGAATTGTAACCGACAAAATAGTTTTCTACAGTTTCCTCTCAGCTTTCAATGGTCCCGTGTCAGTCTCAACAAATGCACGAAGAAAACGTGTAGAGCCCGTAATCAACAAATACTGAAATAGTTTC